GCTGGCACAGACCCGATGGCACAGGTGATGGTGACCACCAGGTTCCCATTGCTCACTGTGCTTGAGACCATAGGCAAGAAGCCTTGAGGGGCTTCTACAATGACCAGAACATGACTCTGTGTCAAACAGGGTGCAGATACTCTCTGAAATAACAAACAACTAAAAGCATACTTATGAACTTCTTTTATCCTTTTACTGTTAAAAATCTGCCTCGATTGCCCATTCTTATGCACAGACCATCATGATCCTATTGTTTTGTCCAGGATGTTATCAAGCTGAGCCTGAGCTGAAACGCTGACTATCATGAACTAGGCCAAGAAAACCACAAGGGGGGAGGGGGGCTGACACCCAGATGAATGTACTGTATTTTCTCAAATAGTGTCCAGGGCCTTTACTTACCTAAGCTACAGAAGTAACAGGCCTTAATTTGAGGCAGGCTGGTATTAGAGGCAGGCCTTTATTTACCTAAGCCGCAGAAGTAACAGGCCTTAATTTGAGGCAGGCTTGTATTAGAGCCAAGCCTTTATTTACCTAAGCTGCAGAAGTAACAGGCCTTAATTTCAGGCAGGCTGGTATTAGAGGCAGGCCTTTATTTACCTAAGCCGCAGAAGTAACAAGCCTTAATTTGAGGTAGGCTTGTATTCGAGGCAGGCCACCATGTTCACTGAAGCTAAGACGCTTTTCGACACATGGTTAAATTACACACAGCTGACTAACGCTAAAAGACTTAAGTGCAAACAATGCGGGGATGAACTCCATCTTATGTACATCCTCAATCTAAACGTTAATAATACACAAAGGATGAGTGCAGAAATTATCACAGTGGTTTGATAAATAAAATTTTTGCCACAATGGATACAAGGTATTCTTAATAAAACCATCCACTAAACAAATTTAATATAATCAAAGTACACTCTGTGCTTCCCAGAATAATCTCCAGGTCCAACTGCAACCCAGCCCATGAGAAGCTAATGGATGTGTAAGGCATACTCCATGCTTACATTACTGATAAACATGCACTTACGAGCTGTCACGCTGCAGCTTTGCGTGATGTTGATCTGAAAGGCAACACAAGAGATTCCCTTTCCATTGAGATCTTGAGTTGCTGGGACTGAAAGGCTTAAGCTCCCAATTTTAGTGGTATCACTCAGATACGGGAAGGACAGCAGTGAAACATTGTCTCCTGGTGTCTCACAGGTGTACTGCAGATTTGCATTTGCACTCTGAACTGAGCACACAGGTCTGGCTGTAGAGGATGGAAAAGACATCTCTCAGAAATGCTCAGTAAAACACAGGGTTATCAACTCTTATCCAATCCATTTCCTCACGTTTTGATTAGGTGACGCGTTTAAAAAAAAAAAAATTTGATAAAAAAATATTACATGATATCTTGTATTTTCCAGTGCTTCATTTCATATCAGACCAAGAATGATGCGTCACGCTGCCAGCAGAGATTTCTGCATTTTAAATGCGAGACGAGGGCCAGTGGTACAGCGCAGTGTATTAATACTAATAACCAATAAACCTCTCTGTGTCCCAAATAGGCGGTTACAACAAGTCAAGCTCTCCGATAACCATTCTACAGCTGACAGAGTCCTACAGACGTCACCTGCCGCCGCACGTTTGTCTGTAGTTGAACGAACATATTGTCTTTCGAAACATGATATAACAGCATGGCGAAAGCGCTGGCATCGCGCCCACAGTTTACCCCAACCGTGCCCTGTGCTGCCCTCAGACAGGCTTCAACTTAACTTCCTGCTCAACCAGAATTAGCAGGTGGAAGATGAGCGTCTCCGTTTTTGGTGGGAAAGTGTGCAGCGTAATTCTTCAGCTAAGAATCGTGCGTGTCTTTATTTTTTTCTGCTTCATTGACTCCCCCCCCCCCCCCCCCCATTTGAAGTCTTTAACTTTGACTGTATCTTCCCCTATTTATACTCAGGGCCTAGACTCTCTTCTGCCTGGTCCAATCATTTGACTTATATATAAAATCCTGTATACGCACACAAGCACATGTTATAGATTGAAACATTTGGAAATCCCTTTTTAACGATGGGAATTTATTGACCAGTTTCCTTGCAGTTTGGATTCTGTGCTGTCAGGTTGCTTCCATCAGTCATATGTAACTGAAACAGGCTAAAAAAGCCGTTTCTCTGGTTACGGTGTACAGCTGGAGACTGAGGCTCGAGGCATCATCTGCTGCTTATCATCCTTCTGTTCTCGCAAACTGCTTAATTCAGACACCCAGTGATTTTTCATAATTACTACTGTAGATACAAACTACTCTGACACTTCAAGGCACAACAGCAACAGCGGAATGAATGTAAACTACATACATACTTAGGAAAAACTATTTTGCTGACATATATGCACACAAGCATCAAAAGTCAAGCAAACAATGGTACTTACCAAACACCCGAAGTGTGACATTGATAACCTTTGGGCAAAAACCGATCTTTGTGATGTTCAAGGTGTAAGTGGCACTGTAGTTCTGCGACACGTTACTGAAGACGAGTGACCCATTGCCCATCAGCGACACTCCCGTGTAATTAGAGGCGATGTCTGGGAGACTGGAGCTCACCGTCCTGTTCACGATAAGCAATTGGCCCACATACCACTGTATTATGGGATTCTGGGCTCCAGTAATCAACACGTTCAGAGTCACGTTGCTACCAGCCTTGGCAATGACTGTGGGGGGGCTGTAGACTGAGAGACTGGAGTTGCACTCTGCAGAACATTAATAACAATTCAAAATAATGTTACTAATAATAAAATGTATTAACTCGGCTTTCATATACACACACACAAACACAGATTAAGTATATCTTTGTGGGGACTCTCCATTCATTCCCCTACCCAGCCCAAATGTTAAGCATAAATAATCAAACAAAATACTGTTGGCTATTCTGATTTTTCAATTGCATTCACAGATTTTTATAAAATTGACTTTTCACTTGTGAGGACTACAAATATTTCAGGTCAAAATAGCAGATTTTTATCACATTATGGGGACATTTGTTCTGTACAAACAAAAACGTAATTAGGAAAATATGGTGAGACTCTATAGAAAACGCGCTGAGGGGGTGTCCAAGGACCACTGACATCACGGTTTTAAATGTCATGTCTCTCTGATTACACTCAGTGTTTCTGCAGCTGAGCTCCCACCAAATTCATGTATATCTTTCTTACATATGTGTTACCGCCTAGGGAATTTCTTTCAGGCATGAGTTTTTAATACCGCTCTGGCAACACGGCTCTCACCTGCTTGGCCACATGACCTCTGTACCCCGATATGAGAGACATGCATGGGATCTACCCAGTGCTGTAAGGATCGCGGAACCAAGGTTATGCTCTCCTGGGTGTTTCCGGCTTAGCCTGACAGTAATGATATGGGCTTGATGGATATGGCACAAGATACACTGATCTTTAAATGTATCATCAGTTTATGTAAGTTTTCCAATCTGCATGCACTTCTGCTTTGGTAATATGCAGTAATGCATGTGTCGCACTTAATGTCATGAAGGTGCTTTGCCTTCAATTGTCTTTAAAACTGCATGTGAGTCTGTCAATCAGTCATTCCAGGTAACACAAAAAAATCCAACATTTGTTTAATGTTTGAATGAAGGTCTTTAATATGAGCAAGGCAGCAGAGGATTCCGATACCAAACCCCAGCATGGTTGCCTGCTCTGTCCCTGGCCTAGACAGAAAGCATGTGAGCCTTTGAGATAAAGGAAGATTCCTTATGCATCATATCATACTCGTGTCTGCATCCTGGTTCCTGATCACTAACAGGTTCAACAACGTTACAGAGAAAGGGCTCCTTCTGAACTGGGTGAGGTAGCATGGAGGCGTTTAGGCAGGATAAACACAGAAATGCCTTTATTTACAGG